CATCCTTTATTAAAATGGGATTCCATTTTTTACCTGTCAGACTGGCAAAACAATTTTTTAAAGGTTAATGTAAGAAGTGTAAGGAAATTGACAGCCTCATCACTTTTTAAAAATATATATATCTTTATTGATTTCAGAAACAGGAAAGGAGAGGGAGAGAGAGAGATAGAAACGTCAATGATGAGAGAGTCATTGATCGACTGCCTCCTGCACGCNTTTTGCCCTGAGCGGGAATCAACCCCGATCGCCTGGATCCTAGGTCCACGCTCATCCGCTGAGCCACGCCCGGCTGGGCCTCATCACTTTTTTATTTTGAAGCAATCTTAAACTTACAGAAGAGTTGCGAGAACAATCCCCCCCCCCNTCATCATTTTTGTATATAAATCCCCAGTTGACCCAATAATGTTTGTTAAAGAAACTTTAAATCCCCCCCCCCCACACACACACACACACATTGGAACCAGCTGACAACACGGTGCGCCCCCCCGGGTGTCCTAGGCTGTGTTTTCTACAAACAGCCCTACGTGACAGTGCCACCGTCAGAATCAGGAGGTAACGTGGAGAGGTGTTACCTGCCGCCTCATCCTCGGACCCCTTTGAGTTTCTGTCCTTTTTAGCAGAATGGTGTGTTGTGCTGTTGTGTTGCCACGTCTCCTTCAGCCCAGTCCCCCAGTCTTTTTCCTTGATGTTCATGACCTTGCTTTTGTAGAATCCTGGAACAGTTATCATCCAGAATGTCCCTCAAGTTAGGTTTGTCTGTTTGCTTATTATTTTTTAATCCTCACCGGAGGGTATGCTTTTATTGATTTTTAGGGCGAGAGGGAGATTTTCTTATACGATTTTTAGTTTTTTTTATATGATTATTTTAGATTTTTCGAAAGAGAGAGAAACATGGATCAGTTGCCTCCTGTTCTCACCCCCACAGGGGATGGAACCTGCAACCCAGGTGTGTGCCCTGACCAGGAATCAGACCCCCAACCTCTTGGTGCACAGAAGGGCACTCCAACCCACTGGGCCACCGGGGGCCTGTTCGCTTAGTGATTGGATTCAGATTATAAATCTTTGGCAGAAGTAGCACAGAAGTGATACTGTTCTCATGTATTTTATCAGATTGCACACTTTTTTTTTTTTTTAATCCTCACCCAAGAATATTTTCCTATTGATTTTTTAGAGAGAGTGGAAGGGGGAGGGAGAGAAAGAAACATTGACGTCTGTGAGAGAGACACATCGAATGGTTGCCTTCTGCAACCAAGGCACCCACCCCAGGCTGGAATCAAAGCTGGGACCCTTCAGTCCTAAGGCCAACACTCTAACCACTGAGCCAAACTGGCCTCGGCTTGCACAGGGTTTTGATTGTCCCATTTGGTCATATTAACCGTGATTAGTTGATTAAGATAAGTGTGTGCTAAACTTCTCTAAAGTTACCTTTTCTCTAATTTTGTGGGGAAATGCTTTCTCATTAAACTAGCAATTTACTTATTTTTTTCTCAGTGTGAACTCATGGTTACCTATTGTATTCAGTGGGTTATAATCCATTCTCATATTTTGATGCTGAAAATATCCCAGATTTGGCCATTGAGGGAGCTGCTTGTCCTTTTGACGTGACCCCATCATTCTTGGAGCATTTCCTCACTTCTCTGGCACAGGTGTTCCAGGCTCATCTGTGCTTTCCCTGCCCCAGCCCTGGAATCAGCCCTTTCTCCTGGGAGATTTGGTTCTTTTCAGTAGCGAATGACATTTAGAAACTCAAGACTTGGGTGCTAGATGTGCTCATTGCTATTAGGATGTTAATACTCCCAAAAGAACTAGGAAATATATACACAAACACACATACACATTTATAGCTAAATTCTTATGACATTAAATATTTATATTTAAATGTGTAATTCATGTTACCAAATTAACTTTATTTATAAAAGTTGTTTGTAATTTAGTCATAAAAGTATTTAATTAAATTAATATTTAAACATATAATTCATATTGCGTTAAACATGGATCCATACATATTGAAAAACCATGAATTCATATCAGTAGCTCTACTTTCAACCCAATTCCACATGATTCATTGTGAATTTCTGCCTTTTCGTATTCATAATTTCCTTTGAAAAACCTAACTCCCATTATCTTTAATATATTTGGTTAGTCCCCCATTGCATCTGCCCACACCCTCCTCATCCGGCTTGGGCTCTGTCACACTGCACCTTATACCAGGTTACCCTCCTGTGTGAATGCCCTCATCACTACTGTGACAGGCTGCTACCCTCATCCTTCTCACATGGACACCCTCACCCTGTTCAGGCTCTGAATCTTGTGATACATGCCACTGTTGTCCCTCAGCATTTATGCCCTCCTTATCCTAAACAGTTTCTGACTTGATGCCAGGTCGCTGCTCTTCCCTTCCCACTGCATGGATGCCCTTATACTGTTCAGGCTTTGACACCCCACATTGGCTCCCCACGTGTGTGTACTGCATGCCTACCCCCAATCCTGGGTCGTCTCTCCTATATAGGTGTCCTCTTCTCCCTTCTCAGGTTCTGACTGCCCATGCTCAGCAACCATATAAACCCCCGCCTTATTCAGTTCCACCTTATCAATCTCACACATTTTTGGTTGGTAAATATAAATTGGTACATTTCTTTAGGAGTTAGCAATCTTTGTCAGAATATCATATATACATGCTTATTTTGACCAAGAATTTATCCTAAGAAAATAAATGTACAAAGATGTCTATACAAGGATACTCACAAAACTGTTTATAATTTTTAAAAAAACAGTGTCATCATTAGGGATTTTTTTCCCCCCAGGGAAATTACAAGTTTTTGGGTAACTTTAGAGAATGGACTATCAAAATTAAAAAGTCATAGGGGAAAAAAATAGCAATATCTGTTGTTTATTAAGTACTACAATACTTCAGGCACTAGCTTCAGTCTGTTGTACTTGCACTACTACCTCATTGGTTTTCCCAATAATCTCATGAGGTAGAATTATAATTACTTTATATAGATGAAGAAACTGCATCTTGAGGTTAAGGCACTTGTCCCAGACAGTAAAGCTGGTATTTGAACTCCGGTTGTGTGAGTCCATGATGTGAGCTCCTCACTATACTCTGCTGCTTCCCTGATTAAAATGAAAGTGGTAATTATCTCTTGAGTTATTCAAGTACAGGGCAGGTGACTTTATTTTCATTTATTGTCTGTCTTTTATCTATTTTACCTTTCTCTGTTATCTGACTCTTTTTAAACAAGTACAATATACTTTAATAACCAGATATAAGTGCCTAGCTATTTTAAAGGAGGGGTGGAACTTCAGTGAACTCCCTGTTGCTCCTTAGCTTAGACAATATGATTTGTCGTCTAGCTCCCACTTCTCTCCTCTCATATCTCTACTGCTCTGCAACATGCAATCTTGGCTCTGGCCAAACCATACTACAGTACATGTTTAGACACAGTGTTTCCTGCTACCTGGCTGACTCTTTATTTTCAGGGCTCAACCCCATTATTTTTATCTCAGTGAAGCTGTCCCCCAAACACAGTAACCCTCAAGGCAGTTTGCCTCTTGGCTCCTATACCCAACATTGTATTGGAATTACCTGTTTCTGTACTTTCCCCCTAGTAGAATGGACTCCATGAGAGCATGAATCATGTTTTATTCATCCTGCTACCCCTAGTACATAACCAAGTATCTGTAATTAAGGTTATGTGTCAATGTTTATTAAGTATTCCATTAATAATGTCATATCACAGGTGGTGGTTTTAGACCTTCCTTTCTGATTAATTATAACCCTCATGTTCAGATATATGCTAAAATCATCAGAAACTAGAATATTTTAATAATATGCCTTGCTTTGTTGCTGTTCTTGATAATCATAATTTGATATGCCCCGATTTAATCTTTACAGAAAGCACGCTTATCTACCATTTTATTTGCTGAAAACTGTGAAGTAACCCATAACCAGCTATGTGAATTGCTGAAGTACGCAGTTCTGGGCAAATCCAGTGTTCCCAAACCTAGGTATGAGATGAACTTAAAAGGTGGGGATAGACCTTAGGTTTCAAACCTCAGTGTCTAGAGGGCTATACCTGCCTTAACTGACATTATTTGTCTGCCATACAGAATTTCCTTTAAAAAAATTATGATAGTTGCCTACAATTTTATTTGGGAAGTCCTTTATAAAAATTCAGATTTTTTTACTTCTTCAAAAACTCAAAGATCTGCAACTGTCCCTGTATTCCCACATGGGAACAATTTGTCAAAGCTGAATAGTGGCCTCCCCCTTTAGATGGGGCATATGCACTTCAGTGTCCCACCTGGCCAGCTTTCCTTGTTTACAGTATCTGGCTGCTATAGATATTTTGGTTTGTAACCCCCAGTGGAGACCTGATTGAAATAAAATGATCATAACAAGTGTTGGCAAGGATGTGGAGAAAAGGGAACCCTCTTGCACTGTTGGTGGGGTTGCAAATTGGTATAGCCACTGTGGAGGTTCCTCGAAAAAAAATTAAAAGTAGAACTACCATGTGACAAAGCAATCCCACTCTGGGTATTTATCAGAAGGAAATGAAAACAGTATTTGAAAAGATATCTGCACCCCAGCATTATTTACAATAGCCAAGATACAGAAGCAGCCCAGGTGTCCATCAATGGGTCGAAGACTTAAAAAAATACAATGCATATGTATACAATAGAATATTATGTGGCGGAAAAAGGGAAGGAAATCTTGCCATTTACAACAACATGGATGGACCTAGAGGGTATTATCCTAAGTGAAATGAATCAGACAGAAGTATAAACACTGTATGATCTCACTTTTATGTGGATTCTAAAGAACAAAATAAAGGGACAAAACAAACAGAGTCATAGATACAGAGAACAAACTGACAGTTGCCAGAGGGGAGAGGGATTGGGGGCTGGGTGAAAAAGGTGAAGGGATTAAGAAGTACAGACAGATTGGTAGTTACAGAATAGTCAAGGGGATATAAAGTGCAGCATAGGGAATGTGGTCAATAATATTGTAGTAACTAGGTGTAGTGCCACGTGGGGGGGATCACTTGGTAGATTACATAAATATCTAACCACTATGCTTATAACTGAAACTAATATAAAATAATACTGAATGTCAGCTGTAATTGAAAATTAAAAAGAAAAAAAGTGAAATAATATGATCATATGTTAAGAATCCCAACCTTTTTTTCTTTTAATTCCTCACCAGAGGATATTTTTTCCATTGCTTTTTGGGGGACGGGGTGGGGAGATCGATGTGAGAAAGATCCATTGATTGGTTGCCTCCCACATGCACCCTGACAGGCTGGGGATTGAGTCTGCATCCAAGGTAGGTGCCCTTGGCTGGAATCAAACCCAGGACCCTTCAGTCTGAGGACTGACACACTAACCACTGAGCCAAACTGGCTAGGGCAAGAATCCCAGTCTTTTTTTCCTTCTTTTACAAATGGCAAAGAGAATTTACTCTTCTGATATCCTTAATGCCATTATTAAATGTGCAATAAAAGTTGCTTTTTTATATGTACCAATAGAGAGATTTTCAAATGTCTGGGGGGAGGTTGGCTAGATTCCTCAAAAGCCATCCTCTGTATTCACAGACATTACCATCAGTCTGCCAGTTTATCCAAAACCAGCTTTTTTCAGCCAGTTATATGATTACCTGCGTAGGAAGAACTACCAAGCAGCTTAGTATCTTGAGATTAGTTCCTATTTAAAACAAATCCGAATTTAGGATTTGAAACAAAGTTTAACAGAATTTTGGGTTTGAGTACATTACTTTTCACATGCTATTCTACTTGATTTGAATGCAGTAATTAAGAGCTCTGTGTTTGAATTCTGGGCAGTAATAGCAGTTCTCCATTTGTAGGCAGTGAGTGATGAGAAATTCCATTAGCTGTTGCTCACTGCTTTTTTTCCACACTTGCCTTCTGCGTGCCTGTAACCAACTCAATGGTATCACTCTTAGATGTGTTGGTTTGATTTTTCAACAGCTGGTGCCAGCTTTTGCACCAAAACCACCTGAACAACGTCGTGGTTTTTGTACTGCAGGGAATGAGTCAGCTACACTTTTACAGGTTCTACTTGGAGTTTGGATTTCTCCGAAAGGCATTCAGACATGTAAGTTAACAAAACTTTATACTGGAGCCTGGAGTCAGGTTCTCCCACCCAGACATTAGTGCACATGTCCCAAACCGTGCTCCTTGGCGACCTGATTTAAAAAGCAATAGGGGTTGTAGAAGGTGAAAAAGACCAAGATGCAGAGATCTCGTATTGAGATTGGGTTTGTCTTTGATTTTCTTTGGTAATCTAGGCAAAACTTTTATTCCCAGATTGTAGTGTATAGTTCCCAGGTTGATTTTGTCCTATTTTATTTGGGCTATGGTGTTTTCAAAAATTGTAAAATCTATATTTTTCAGTTTCTCTTGACAACACCACAAGATTGGGCCCTCTTAGAACAGTATCTGGAGCTGAATAGCAGCTGTCATCTTTAGAAGAGACATGTGCTCTCCATTCTCTCATAGCCTCAACCGGTCTCTGTTGGACTGTTTCATCTATTTACCCCTGAGGGCATTTGAGTTGGTGAGCCCTAATTTAATCTCTTTGGGTCTCCATTTTCTTTTGTGCTTTCATTTATTGAACACTACCTATGTGCTAAGCCATACATTAATCATGCTGTGTGCATCATCTTTAATTCTCACAATAGTCTTGTAAGAGATAAATCTTTTATTCCCATTTTATACATAGGGAAACTGAATGACTTGTCCAAATTACAGCAAATAGTGGACCTGGAATTTAAGCCCAGGTGAGCCTGAGGCTGGAGCTCTCAACTGTTTTGCTTTGCTGTATATCTGTCCTAACCTACCCTCATGCTGTCCACTAAAGTAATACATTTGGGAGTGCTTTGAAAATATAAGGGACTTCTCTAAGTTTTACATTTCTGTAGTGTTTGTCTTACTTGCAGTGTATAATTGAAGAGGCAAAGAAAAGTTCTGGAGTGAGATAAATGTGGCTTCATCTACCTAGTCACTTTACACATTAAGGAAGCAGTCCTCATTTTACAATGCAAGCGATTAAGGTCCAGACCTTCTCTAGCACTGAGATAACAATGAAATGAAAGACCAGGTCTTTGACAGTCTTTTAACAGCTTTGAAGCATTTTTATAAACACCTGTTATGTTATTTGCAGAAATTCCGCTTGCCTCCTCCATCATCTGATTTTCTAGCTGATATCATTGGGCTGCAAAAAAAACGAACAACCGGGGATCTGTCCAAGACAATTGCAGGTATGGCTGTGATTCTAGTTTTATTTGCTCATTCTAAAAGATACTGAGTAGGTTTATCAGTCATTTTTATTCTTGCAAGCAACAAAACTCAATTCTAACTATCTTCAGCAGAAAGCAATATTTAAAAAAAATGTCTTTATTGATTTCAGAGAGAGGAAGGGAGAGGGAGACAGAGATAGAAACATCAATGATTAGAAAGTCGTTGATCAGCTGCCTCCTGCACACCCCCTACTGGGGATCGAGCCCGAAACCCAGGCATGTGCCCTGACCGGGAATCGAACCTCGATCTCCTGGATCCTAGGTCAGTGCTTAACTGCTGCGCCACTCTGGCTGGGCAGAAAGCAGTTTTTTAAAGGAAAAAATGGGTAAGCATGTAGGGAGATTAGACAACAGAAGTCATAGCTAGGATTTAATGCCTCAGAAACCATCTGGTTATGTTAGATAGCTAAGGCTCCTCTGGTTATCACTGACATTGGACTCTTGTGTATTATTGTGAATAATTTTTAAACTGTCACTGGGTCTTTGTACCTACAAGTGTACAGATGGGAAGGAAGATCTTGCCTTTCACTGATAGCAGTGTTTTTCAAACTGTGGGTTGTGTCTCATGAGCAAATTCTAGCTAACCTGTTTTGGGGTGGGAAGGAGGCAAGTGGTGGAATAGACTAGAACTCATCAGAGTTCATTACACATAGTAAGGTAAGTATTGTTCAGTGATGCTTTTTCTGTGTTCCAAAATAAATAGTTGAGTAGTTGCACTCAGGGGACATGGAAAAGTGGTGAGGAATAAGCAGTGCTTTCCTCCCATCTCCTCCAGTACTGTGCTTCCTACTATCCTCTGTCTCAAAGGCATCTAATTTCCTACCCGTCCATGACTCCTCTCCAGTAGGTCCCCATATCTGACTTCAGCTATGTTTGATTGAACCTGAACTATAAACATTTTTTAGTAAATCACAAAGTAGTCGTCATGAGAGTCAAAGCTCATGTAAAAATGGCAAGTTATAAAAGAAAAGATATAATAAGGAAAAATAACTTTGACATGACGAAAGACTGTAGATGGTTGGGATGATTAGGTGGGACAGGGATGGAATGAGGGAATGGTGAGAGATGAGGCTTGAGAGGTAGGCTAAAGCCATGTCCTGTAGGCTGTAAAGGCCACGTGAAGGACTTTGGATTATTATGTACGCATTGAGGAGTCATAGGGTCATGGCTATTTCTCTGTCCCCTTAAAGATTTCACTTTGTTTTTTCATCCTAAATACCAAAGCTCCCAAGGTGTAATCTGTAGCACTCCTATCCTCCTTTGGAATACTCATCTATTCTTTCCAGGCTTACCTATCACTCTTCTGTGGGTAACTCCTTTATTTTTATCTCTAGGACTCGTGTCCCAGATTCCAGGGCTGCATTTTTGACAGCCTGCTGGATGTTGCTACTTGGATAGTCCACTGTCCCCTCAATCATAAAATAGCTAAAAGCATTTTTCTCATCCCTAAATAATAGACTTCCATCTTCCAATCCCCTTTTCTGTTGGTACCATTTTTCTCTAAGACACCAGTCTTGAGTTTAAGAATTATTTTTCTTCTGGCTCCCCATACCCAGTCTGCATGGCTCCTTCCCTTGCTCCTCTGACTCTGTTCAGATGTCACCTTACAAGGGACCTCCCCTGATCATTATAATATGGCAGCAGTTCCTTTCCTGCCCCACAGCTCCTCCTCTACCTCTTACCTTTCCATCACCCTTGTCCTCACCTGCTGTTTTATGTTATTAGTCTACTGTTCATCTTCCCAACTAGAAAAAGTTCCATGGAGAGTTTTGTTGATCTTGTTTATTGGGGAATCTCTAGTAGCTTAAACATTGTCAGGTATACAAGTACTTCATGTAAGTATTTTGTTGACCGAATTGAATTGTTCTGTCACTGTGCTCTACCAGTTTTTCTTGTGTAATGTTTCTTTCATATATTCCTTTTCATCCATCCTTTCCACCGTCCTAATCCAGACCTTTTCTCATTTCTCTCCCTGCTCTGTTTCCTATGTACCTTTGAGATTGATCTTGCTTAAAATACTGTTCGGTTATGCCACTTCCCTTCTCAGGAACTTTCTTTTGCTCCCCATTACGTATTGAATGATGGACTAAAGTCCAGACTCAAGCCAGACATTCACTGTGGCCTACAGTTTACTTTTCTCCTCCTCTCTCCACACAGACCCTTGTTCCTCCCCAGCTGGTCTAGTCACTGCCATACCAGCCTTGCTTTATACATTTCTGTCTTGCTTGGCATGCCTTCTTTCTACTTAGGAGACTGGCTTTTTTGGTTGCAAGGACCAAAAACTTAGGCACCTTAAGTGAGAGGGGTATTATTTGAAGGATACAAGTGGACTAGAAATACATCAGGAATCTTAGGTGCCTCTAGTGAAAAGCTGCTCTCTATCTCTTTCAGGGCAGCTTCTTTTTTCTGTTCTCTTCTAACTAGTCAGTTTTCTGTGTTTCCTGGTTCAGTTCTGGCAGCGAGCAATCTGACCAGCTTAGCTACCATTGAACATGTCTTGACAAGGAATATCAAGTCATTGGTCAGTTTATAGATGGTTTTTCCTAAGCTAGGCTGATGCTTGAATTAAGTGGCTAGGGATGGAGTAGATTTTGCTAGAATGGGCTGTTAGGAGTCGCAGGCACTGTAATGGACAGGTCTAATATACCAATTATATGAATTCTGCCTTCAAGACCCAGCTAATCTTTTCTTCTCTTGAACCATCTCTGACCACTCCAGCCAGTGTATTGTCTTCCTTTTCCTTTTATAGCCCTTGTTATTATAGACCATTTGGAACTTACTTTCTTTGTTTTCCTATAACTGTATTAGGGTGCAAGCTCCTTAAAAAAGTTGGGGTTGGGTCTTGCACATCTTTTGATTTTCTCCATACTTACCTTTACAATATTAGGAGCCATGTCCTTTGAGGTCTCTTAAACACAGATTGAATGAGATACATTCAGTTGTCCTTCTTGTTTCAGGGTCTTTACCTTCTGCCAGTTCAAAAGTCAGCATCAATCTGCAGAATGACCCCATCATTCAAAAGTATGGCTGTAAGAAAGTGGGCTTGACCCAATGCCTGCTCACAAAGGAGGAAATGAAAACATTTCACTTTCCATTACAAGGTTGGTTTAGATTTAATCTGATGTTGGTAACAATATAAGAATATCTAGCAGTTTATGTAAAAATAATACTGTTGAAAATTTTTTTTGGTTTTCTTTTTGGCTACTTTCCAAGTGACTTGTTCTATCTTCTGTTAATGGAGAATTATTTTAAGTGCAACGTTTCCTAAAGTGTAGGATGTGTACCATGTTGGTATAGTGATGATTTGAGGTAGTACATGAATGGGACCTTAAATAGCATTGAAATATTTAATGGGAAAGTTATTCCTTTCTCGGTTTTCTTTCATTTCTTCTTAGTATATTAAAAAGTCATTATGTCTTTAACACTTCTTCAATACTTCTAATCCTCCCTCCTCCACCCCCATTTTCTTCACCAAATAGAGCAGGCCTGGGCTCGGCCTTGGTCAGCAAGAATTTAATAGAAATGATTTGATTTCATTTAACATATTTGTTTGTTTGTTCATTTGTTAATCCTCACCCTAGGATATTTTTTCCATTGATAGAGTGGAAGTAAAGGGGTAGGGGGAGAGAGAAACATCAATATGAGAGAGAGACATCAATTGGTTGCTTCCTGCATGTGCCAGGGATCAAACCTGCAACCCAGGCACGTGCCCTTGACTGGGAATTGAACCCAAGATCCTTAGGTGCACAGACCGAAGCTCTGTCTACTGAGCTACACTGGCCAGGGCTCATTTTATTTTCTTTATTAGCTCTTAATCACAGCAGTGATGTTAATTTTTTTTTTTAAATCAGCTCTATTGAGATATAACTAACCTACCATACAATTCACCCATTTAAAGTGTACAGTTAAAAAAAAAAAAGTACACAGTTCAGTAGTTTTTAGTATGTTTTTAAGAGCTTTACAGGCATCACCACAATCAATTTTAGGACACTTATTATCCCAAAAGAAACCCCATACTACTGTTTCTCCCACAACACCCTTAGCCCTAGTCAACCACTAATCTATTTTCTGTCTATAGATTTACCTCCTGTGGACGTTTCATATAAATGGAATCGTGGTCTTTTGTGCCTGGCTTCTTTCATTTAACATAAAGTTTCAAGGTTCATCCATGTTGTAGCATGTATCAGTACTTCATTTATTTTTATTCTAATCCTGCTCTGTGTATGAATATATCACATTTGATTTAAGTATTCATCAGTTGATGGACACGGGGCTTGTTTCCACTTTTTGGCTTTTATGAGTAATGCTGCTATGAACATTTAGGTACAAGTTTTTGTTTGGACATATATTTTCATTTTTCTTAGTTATATGTACTTAGTAGTGGAATTGCTGGGTCATTAGGTAACTCTGTTTAACATTTTGAGGAACTACCAGGCTATTTTCTAAAGCAGCTATACTGTTTTAGATTCCCACCAATGTATGAGGGTTCCAATTTCTGCACATTCTTACCAATACTTGTTATTCTCTGTCTTTTTTATTACACCCATTGTAGTGGGTGTGAAGTGGTATCATTGTGGTTTTATTTGCATTTCTCTGATGGCTGATGATGTTGAGCATCTTTTCCTATGCTTATTGGCTATTTGTATATCTTTTCAGATCCTGTGTCCAATTTTTAATTGGGCTGTCTTTATTATTGAGTTATTAGAGATCTTCATATATTCTGGAAACAAATTTCCTTTTAAAATAAATTTAAGTGAAAACGCTCTCTGTAAAATAGTTTATATACCTTAGGGTTCCTATGAGGACTAAATGAGTTATTGTACAAAAGTGGTGGCTAGCACATAGAGCTATACAATGTTAGATATTTTTTATCATTATTGCCACTGATAATATAGGTGAGGAGGGCAGCAACTATATGTCTCCCAGATTTGAGGATGCTTCTCTTTTCTGACCTGGATCATATTTGGGTGATTTCAGTTGTAATCAGTTAGCAATTTCAGGATACTGTGGCATAGAAACTGGTCAAAACTTTTCAAACTCTCTTTTGTTTCTAGTCAGACAAGATCTAGGTATGACCTTTTATTGGCAGCCTCTGTATGAAAGTTGGAGTCTTCAGTGATCCAAATGCTTTCAGACCTCTGAGCTAAATATGCCTAGTTATTGATTTAGAGTACACAAGGAGGGGGGGTACCCTAGCTGAACTTCTGTAGGAAGTCTTCAGGGTATGATTTCAGAAAATGGAAGCACATTTCTAGACACAGATTTCAAGAGAGATTTCCAGGGTAGAGTTGGGTGCAGGGTGCACTGGTGACTATTACATAAACCTTTTGCTTACAGTGAAATCCTTTTAGATCTTTGACAGGATAGAACCTCATCCCTAGTGTCTCTTGCTTTGTTTAGGAAAGAAAAATGCCACATCCAGTCATTTGCATACTTTATTCATCCTTCCTTAGTGCCTACTTGGAAATGTCTAGTGCCTTTGGACTCAGCCACAGTTTAGTTACAGTCTCTTTTCTAACAGGAGGAAAAATTGTTCCTTGGTAACTTTCGGGAAGCCCAGGCTCTATTCTCTCTTGTAACAGCAATGTTTGTTATTCTTCCAGAATCTAAAAGTGAGGGGATGGAGAAAACTTGAGGACAGATGGTCTCTTTTTTAATCTTTATTTTTCAAGTGTCTCACTTAAAGAAGGTGCCCAGCAAATGTGTTATTTCAGGTTTCCCAGGATGAATGTAATGATGTTTATCATCTCTGGTTCTAAGGTAACCTTTTCTTCTAGGTTTTCCTGAGTGTGAAAACTTCGTACCAACCAAATGTAATGGTCCTGTAACAGACAAAAGTCCTCTCTTTGGACTTGACTGTGAAATGGTAAGTACTACTTTTTCAACTGGAGTGTTGCAAACTAGGGCCTAGTGGATGATGTCTTGATTCCAGTGCACCAGTGAACCAGTGCATTCAGTTCCAGTGTTCATTTTAAATAACTGAAAGTAGACTCTTTCACTCACATTTTAGAAAACTTAGATCTGTGCTCCAGGATGAAGACTAACTATCACATAAGTTTTTTCTAGTTGCTATGTTTAATGAAACCTTTGTACATTAACTCCTGTCTTTTGAACAAGTGATTTGTTGTTGCCTTGAAGACTTTGCCTCAATTACCATCTGTTAGGCTTAGTTTTGTACATGTAAGATCAGAAGTAGGATTTCCCTGCTTAAGCTCCCTTGTGTTTTACTTTTTCTAATTAGTAAGTCTCCCTTCAAAGACATTGCATCCCCTCTCATTTAGTGCTTAGGTGACAGTTTCTCTATTCTTCAGAGTGGCTAAGAGCTAAAGTTTTGGAATCTGTCATGTCACAGTGTGTATCCTGGCTTTGCCTGTTAGTGGATTTGTCATCTTGGACAAATTCCCTAACCTCCCTCAGCTTCAGCTTTTCTCTCTGGAGTGGGGACAACAGTAGAGGCTATTTCAAAGGGTTATTATGAGGTGGTGTATATAAAATGGCTTAGTACTGCATTAGGTGATGATAAAGTGTGCTAATAAGAATAACTTATCAGGTGGTACTTAACTTAATATTGGGATGTAATATACACTTAATAAATGATATAATTATGATTGATGTTATTATTCCCATTCATCTTCCTTAAGCACATCCTTCCCAGAGAAATTTTACTGTATTGGTCACGTTAAGTAAATGCTCAGCAGCCTGCCTAGCTTTAATTTCATTCATACTGGATCCTCAGGTCAGCAAAAGGCTGTGCTGTTGTCACCGGGACCCCAGTAGATTAGGGTAGATGGCAGTTGACATAGTCTGAGTAACAGGCTATGTCAAAGTTCCACAGTGCAGGAGCCTGATTATGTCCTGGTCTTTCAGTGCCTCACATCTAGGGGAAGAGAACTAACACGCATCTCACTGGTTGCTGAAGGAGGTGGCTGTGTTATGGATGAACTCGTTAAACCTGACAAAAAGATTTTGGACTACCTCACCAGGTATTTTTTGCCTTGCCTTTAGCTTTAGTCTAGAGCTGTCAGACTAAAGTGGAATGAGACTTCACAGAAATAGCCTGTAGCTTCTATTTAGTTAGGTATGACCTACTTATATATATATTATCGAAGAAAAGGCTGGGGCACAACTGTAATCTTTTTTTTATGCCTTTATTGATTTCAGAGAGGAAGGGAGAAGGAGAGAGAGAGAAACATCAATGATGAGAGTCATTGATTGGCTGCCTCCTGCACGCCCCTGACTGGGGATCGAGCCGGGAACCAGGGCATGTGCCCTGCCCGGGGATTGAACCGCGATCTCCTGGATCATAGGTCAGTGCTCACCCGCTGAACCAAGTCAGCTGGGGACAGCTGTAAATTTTAATACTGAAATTGCACAGCGCCAGTGTCTAATGCTCTTACCCTTCTTGCTCTCTAATCTTCCTGTGACCTCAAGTCAACAGAATATTATCTTCCTTGTTATAGAATCTCCCAGTTAATCATCTAGCAACTGCCAAACAGCTGGAGTGTTGCTTTCTGATAAGACCTCATCTGAAAAATCTGTAAATCATTGGGCAGTCAAATGATCTTAGAGGTTAGTCTGCCCTGACCTCAAAAAACAAAACTAAACTAAACTAAGTTTTTTCATGACAAATTTGAAGCTCAACCATTTTTCTCTTTTCAGAGATTAGCATGTAATTTCATATGTATACACTACAGTGATTAGGCAGAGAAAAGCCAGTGAGACATTATTGTTTCTGCCCATTGAAGTTATAGCTATAGATTCATGCTTACTTAGGTACCAAGAGGCCATCATAATGATAAAGACTGTCCTAGGCCCTGGCCAGGGTAGCTCAGTTGCTTGGAGCATCGCCCCGATGGACCAGAGTTGCAGGTTTGATCCCCAGTCAGGGCATATACCAAGAATCAACTAACGAATGCATAAATAAACTGGAACAACAGATCCGTTTTTCTTTTTCTCACTCTCTCTTCCTCTCTCTAAAAATCAATGAAGTTAAATAAAAAAGGCTGTACTATTAGCAGGCATGATAATTAGTTTCATAGGAAATAGTCATAGATGTATGTATAAGCGTGTTTGTCACAGAATTGCAAAATTAGGGAATATAAATATCTGAAAAGTAGAGGGTTGATTAAAATATGGTAACATCCGTATAATGGCGTATTCTGTAACCTTTTCAAAGGATGTGCTGTAATAGGTTAATTGATGTGAAAGTTTGTTCATGATCTATCACAAATGATAAAAGTCATGTAATAAAGTAGTGTATGCATTATTATTTTTTTATTGATTTTTTTTTAGAGAGAGGAAGGGAGAGAGACAGAGAGTTAGAAACAATGATGAGAAATAAACATCATCCATCAGCTGCCTCCTGCATGCCCCCTACTGGGGAGCGAGCCCACAACTGGGGCATGTGCCCTGACTGGGAATTGAACCATGACCTCTTGGTTCCAGGGTCGATGCTCAACCACTGAGCCATACAGGCTTATCTATTATTTTTATCTTGTGTGTGCTCCGACCAGGGATCGACCCTGCAACCTTGCTGTATCGGGACGACACTCTGGCCAGGGCAGTTTATTTGTTTGTTTTAATTTATTGATTTGAGAAAGAGAAAGAAACAGAAACATCGATTTGTTGTTCTACTTATTTATGCATTCATTGGTTGAATGCATGCCCTGACCAGGGATTGAACCTGAAACCTTAGCAGGGACAATGCTCTAACAACTGAGTTATCCTGCCAGGGCCATAAAGTAGCATATGCATTATGATTGCATTTTTATAAAAAGGAAATATATAAATGAATATAATAAAAAAATAGGAATGGGTATTTACTAAAATGTAAAAGGTGGTGATCTCCGGGTGGTGAGATTAGGGGTAATTTTAAATTTCCTCTTTGCTTATTTGTTTTTGTTTCTTTTAATCCTCACCCGAGGATATTTTTTTTCCATTGCTTTTCAGAGAGAGTGGAAGGGAGAGAGCAAGAGAAACATCAATGTGAGAGAGACACATTGATTGGCTGCAACCCAGGCATGCACCCCAGGCCGGAATCAAACCCAGGACCCTTCAGTCTGAGGGCGATGCTCTAACTACTGAGCCAAACCGGCTAGGGCTTCTTATTTGTATTTTTAACCTTTCAACACAGACCGTATATTAATTTTTTTTTTTTTAATATTCTTTTGAAATTACTTTCTAGGGAGGAAAACTTGTTAATATCCTGGCCTGTCCATTTCTCTTTTTTTATTGAAAGCTACTCAGGAATCACAAAGAAGATTCTGAACCCAGTAACGACCAAACTCAAGGATATCCAGAGACAGTTAAAGGCACTACTTCCTCCTGATGCTGTGTTAGTGGGCCACTCCTTAGACTTGGATCTCAAAGCACTGAAAGTGAGTATCTGGTGTAGGACTTAGTTTTTCTAGTATATGTACCTGTTCCATTTATCTCAGATATAAAGCCTTGGGCTCTTCTTTCCCCAGCCCACTTGTTTTTTCCTTTAGCATAAGCTGCTACTCATTCTATTCTCTTTCCTCCTCAGATGATACATCCATATGTTATTGATACATCATTGCTTTACGTCAGAGAGCAGGGCAGAAGATTTAAGCTAAAGTTCTTAGCCAAAGCTATTTTGGGGTAGGTTTATTTGTGTATTATAATATTATCCTGACAAAATTGCATGTAAGTTAGCATATAGTATCTTATTTAATCCATATTGAAAAATTTGGAGTCTCTGTTCTCCCTCTTAGTTTGTAAGCATTATTCTTTTTATTTCTTATGAATCCTGGGATCCTAACTCCGGAGAGAAGTATGACACGAAATGAAAAAAATTTTTGGAAATACTAGAAGGGCTTTATATGCACAGCTGAGGATTGATGGATAGATTTGGACAGGAAGGGTCATAAAAGCTAACCAAATTTCATAACATGACATTTCTATATTGGATATATTCTGTTACAGACAGATGTTCATTATGCTGTAGTACAGTTTAAAATAGCCCAAAAAACTGCAACTATCCTATAGGACTGGTTGAATAAATTATGGCTATATGTGTTACTGAATACTTTGTTATTGTTGTTCAAAAGATTGTGAAGGATCTAATAAGGAAATCTCTCTATGATACTACTGAGAATAAAATGGAAATCAGAACAAACTCTATAGATGCTTAGACAGTGATATGATGTAGATTAGATTTACCTATATCTGTTGACATAAACATGTATTTTTTAAGATTTAAAAAAAAAAATAACCATAAAGGATTTAAATACATACAGACACTTATGTACAGATAGAAAATTTCTGGAAGGTAACTTTAAACAATGGTTACCTCTAAGAAATGAGACAAAGGAAGTGGGGAGTAGGTAAGAGACTTTTTATTGGGTAGCCCTTTGTCCTTCAGAAGATATGCTTGCTGTGGACAAAGTCATTCCTGACCATTCTACATCCTTAGTATGTCTCTCAGGTCCTGGCAGTTAGGAATGAAGGAGTCTTGATAGTTGTGATGCAAAGCTGATTTATCAGAATGCTGAAATTTTACGTATAACCAGAATATTTGAGGTAGTTGAAAGAACCTATCATTAAAAAATACTCTCAGATATGTCAATTTTATGTTGCTTTTCCAGGAAGGATATTCAGAGTCCAGGTAGACTTGGTCATGATGCCACAGAAGATGCTAGAACAGCCCTTGAATTGGCTCAGTATTTTCTTAAATATGGCCCAAAGAAGGTTAGTATCCTTGACCTTTGTATTTACTTTTCCTAAAATTATGGGACTAGAACAGGTAGTCACAGACTGCCATCTCCTGTTACCTTTTTTTTACAAAAATGGGAGTGTAATTCAAGCCAAGCCTGTATGCAGAAGGAAGACCTGTATCACTAGCTTGGTGCAGTGGTGAAGTGTGTAGTCTCTGAAGTCTGCTTTCAAATATGTGACCTGGGTCAATTTTTCTGAACAACTTTGGTTTCTAGATCTGTAAAATGGGAACACATTTCTCTGGGACATTGATGAGGGCAAATGAGAGATTATGTATAAAGCTCTTAGCTTAGTGTCTTGAATACTATATTAAGCACCATAATGTGGTGTTGGTAATTTTAGCTGATGCTAATTCTAATAAATATAAAAATCTGCATAGACTGTTGCTCTCTTGGGGTGGGTATGGGGAGCATACCATTGTTTCAATAGCAGTGCAGTGGGTGTAGATTAGATACGGGAGATACTTGAAGAGGACATAGTTTATAGTAGACCTTGTTATACCACATTCTGACCTATTAGATTGTCCCATTGCGTAATAGGTTCTATCATGATTCCATTATGAAATAAATGGTAGTCCACATAGGATAATAAACTGCCAGAATAGTGTTTTGTGTCATGGTGGTAGAAAGGCATTCTAAAATGCCTACTGGGCATGTAAATAACAATAGCCACCATTCACTAAGATCTTACTAAGAATGGTGTTCTGAAATGCTTTATGTACATGATCTTATCCTTACAGCAACCCTGTGAGTTAACTTATTATCTCAATTTTATGTGTGAGCGTTCTGAGATTTTGAAAAGTTAGATAATTTAATCTAGAGTGCCACAGCTTGTGAGAGGTGGAGCCAGGATGCAAACCCAGGTCTGTCAGATTCCAAAGCCTATCTTTGCTCTACATTAGGGGTTGGCAAACCTTTCTATAAAGGTCAGATAGTAAATATTTTAGGCTTTATAGGCCATACTGTCTCTCACAGCTAGTCAACTTACATCAATGAAAGGGCACAGCTGTGCTCCAGTAAAACTTTTACAGACATTGAGCTAGACTTGACCCGATGACTAGAATGTGCCAGCCCCTGATCTAAACCACAACAGAAATTCTAAACTTTTTCATCTCAGGACCTATTTACCCTCAAAGGGCTTTTGTTTATGTAGATCATGTCTATCAACATTTACCATATTAGAAATAAAATGTGAAGAAAAATCATCTTAATATTTATTAATTTGTTTTAAATATCAAAAATGATGTTAACACAGAAATGAATTTTTCTGAGAAAACATTTTCAAAAAAATTGATGTGAAAAGTATTGTTTTACATATTTTGCAAATCTCTTTAATGTCTAGCTTAATAGCAGACAAGTGACTTTCTCGAGTTGTTTAGTTGGAGAGGACCTCATGAACTTCTGAAAGGGTCTCTGGAACCCTCAGGAGTTCTCGAACCACACTTTGAGAACCACACTTTAAAACTACTGCGTTCTATTATGCTGCTGCTCAAGTTCCAGTGAAAATTGTATCTCACTGGGGTAAAACCTAAGGAAATCTGAATTAAGCTGACTTTAGTTAATAATTACTTATCAGTAATGGTTCATTAACTATCAAATGTACCATATTAATCTAAGATATTAATCATAGTTGAAAATAGGAAGCCTCTGTACTATCTTTGTAATTTTTCTGTAAATGTAATACGATTCTAAATAAAAAGTTTGTATCTCACTGCCTACATTACAACTCCCAAGTGGTCTCCCACTGTATGGAAGCAGAATAAACTAGAATAGACTTCATGGTTTTGAATTAAACCAATAAAAAGTCTTATTTTGATGTTGCTGTAAAAGCTGTTCTTTTGTCATTTCCAAATGCGTGTTTGCGGAGGAGTAAATTTTAAGTGACGAATGAATCATGAGCCAAAATTGCCATCCCTTTTCACTTAGCCCTACTTGGCCTTTTCCCATATGCATGTGACAACATCAACAGCTGGTAACAGATTGCCGTTCTGTCTAGGCCATCTGAAACCATCTGGTAACTATTGAAGCCAGCCTGGGACCAGGACAATGGCAAAGCCACTGTCTACAGAAGCAGGGAACACCACTTGAGTGGATTTTTCTTGGATTTAGTTTGTTTGTTTTTTACCTCAAATGATCTGCAAGAAATTAGATGATTTTTACCACTTTATTTTCATCAAGATTGCAGAACTAAATCTGGAGGCACTAGCTTATCACCCAGAGCTGCAAGCGGCAGGCCCGGCACGGAGCGGTGCAGCAGATGTTGTTCAGCAGCCAAGTGCAAGGTAACAGTGTTCAGTTCTGAACAAGAGAAAAGACAAATGGGGTATCTGGTTTCTTAACAACAAAACCTAGGAATTTGTTTTCTCCTTTGAGTCTGTTAAAAAATGTCTACCAATAGTGTAACATTCTTCCATCACAAAACCATGCAGAGGAAAAGACCACCACCGTCTGCCCCAAATAGTATCTGTTTTGCTAATTTTCTTAATCTAGTGACTGGTTTTACAATGACTTCCTTATAAAAAAGCAAGACATTGAAATACATTGAACTAAGTAGCCTTAGGAGAGATGATGGTAGGTGTTTTGATTAGAAGACAAAGGAACTCTGGAAGTCCTCTACAGCTTTGATGTATTGCCCAGATTGGGGGGGAAACAAAGCACAAACTCTGAAGAGGTTTGTCTACACCATGATACACACGTCAGGTCCGTAGAATCTGGCCCGAGCTCTGATAGGGAGCGTTTGAGTGTGTTTGTTCTCCCTGCACAGAGCAGCATTGTCCAGTGTGGTCTCTGCAGTGATGGAAATGTGCTGTCTCTGCAGTAAGTTCTACAGGTTGGGTACTGTATGTGTGACTAGTGCAAGTGAGGAGCTGACTTTTTATTTCATTTTAATCTTAATAGCTACGTGTTGCTAGTGGCTGATACATTAGACAGGCAGGAGTCTAGAGGAATAACTCTAGGGTTTGGGAAAACTGTTGTTCTCACTTTGGCCTCTTCTTTACAGTGTTCTAGAATGTTTGGAGTCAATGGGTCAGAAGCTCCTTTTCTTGACCCGGGAGGAAGATACTAGTGAACTTTCTTCTTCCAGAAATTGTCAAACTGTTAAGTGCCTTTCAAATAAAGAGGTGAGTGGCCTGCTGCCTCTTTGAAGGTTGCTTCCAGAGCAGAGGGGAATGTAACCCTTTGCAACTCTTACAAGTGTCAAGCTTTTTTCATTAGCACGTTGACTACTAATAGAAGCCTGGTTTCTGTCTCACATCTTGTGTTGAGCACTTTCTGTCCCAGGTACCCCACAGGAGCAGAACTGTCAGCCTCTAGTGTCTGCTTCCAGAGCCTAGCAGGCCTGTGGTTTGGCCTTGCACACTATTTTGAAATTTTGTTGTTTCTTGTTCATAGAGATGTTTATCTTGGTCTTTAACCTGACTTCTTTTCTGTTTTCTCTTTTTCTATTTTATCTGTCATTGCTGTGTGTGTAAAGCAGGAGGGATGCGTCAGGGCATGAACATATTTTCTCCAGGTTGCTCTATACTTGATCAGGTTGGGGAGGAGCACGAATGGGGCATGCAAAGCACCACAGCCTTTCTTGTGCCTTTGGATGGATTCCCTTCTTGATTTGATGTTGGTCTGGGTGCTGTAGCTTCTCAACTGGCCTCTGGAATTCTCACAAAGGTATTCTGGTCTGTGTATTATTAACTCGGTGTCTGGGAGAGAGAGGACCTGAAGCTTTTTAAAAGTGTTTCTTTTGAGAATGATGTTGTGGTGCTGGGAAGAATTTAGGGGTTTATAATGTTCTTGAGAGGGATTGGTGTTAATCTGTTTATCTTTTTTCAAGATCCTTCATTTTCCCCCTTATTTCCTTATTTCCCTTCATTGCAGTGTCTCCAAGGAACTGTTACCTCTTCTCTGTTTCTGATACTTCCAGAAGCACTGCTTCTCTGAGGCTGCCAGTTCTGACCTGTGTTCACTACTTGTGCTTTTTCTCTCTCAGGTGATTTGGTTTGTGCTTCATGTAAGTCTCCCTGCCCCATGGTTTTTTCCAGAGTCTCTCAAGCCTTTTCTCCTTGCTCTCTTTACTCACAGGTTTGCACCAGTGTGAGATGGTGGGAGCTCTGTTGGAATTGAACTTATTTCTTTCCTTAGAGGAAATCTGAAGGTTGTAGTCATCTCTGTTTCTTAGTAATGCTAAAGGTATGGGTCATATGTGATTTTATTCTCTTTACTGACTGTATGGTTTTTCTAGGAGGCTGTGTGGTGTCACCATTTTCTTCCAGACCTTGAAGTCAGCCCTATATTTCTTCTTAATATGGGTAAAGAGATAAGCATTGTTTCTATTATCATGGCTCACCTCCAGGAGCCACAGCAGATTATTAGGTGCCTGCCTCACCCAGGCTGTGCTGTCCTCTGCAGGTCCTCGAGCAGGCCAGAGTGGAAATCCCCCTGTTTCCCTTCAGCATCGTCCACTTCTCCTTTGAACCCTTTTCACCCACCCTCACTGAGGAGATGAACAATAGGGTAAGTTGAATGGGTTCTACTGAGTGACTGACTTAATGACTTATAATCTCCCGCCTCAAGGAAAGTAATACGTACTTAATGAAGTTGACTGTTTATTTCTCCAGATTTTTTTGTATGTGTATTTTAACATATTAGAAAATACACTTTTATAAAAATCCGATTCAGACCACAGATACTGTTTTGCAGCTTTATTTTTTCATTTAACAGTATACCTGGTACCTCTGTCCATGTCAGCACATCAACTTACTTCCCTTGTTTTCAGTGGCTCTGTAGTGTCCTGTTGTGTGACAGACCTGTTCATTGTCATCATTTGTGCTCCATAAGTGTTTGCTCTTCCAAATGATCATGGCAATTTGCCAGATGTTGGTTCGTGATGAGAAATTCCGTGAAGTGGAATTATCCCATGTTCTGACTTAGGGTTCCTTAGACTTGACTGAATTCTGTCCCACATCCGCCCCTCACCATGTTCTGTTGTTCCTTGTAGATGAGGATCAAGTGGACAGAGATATCAACTGTCTATGCTGGGCCGTTTAGCAACGACTGCAACCTCGGGGCCCTGAAGAGGCTATTTAAGAGCTTCGGCCCAATCCAGTCAATGTCTCTTGTTCTTGAAACCCATCAGGTAATGATACAATGAAACTCAGATTCTGACCTTTTAGACCAGCTCTGGAAATTTAGTTTCCAACTGGGACCATTTGGATAACAAAATTAGTGATGTGAGCTTAATTGTCACCAACTGGAGTATGAGCCGTGGTCTATCTGATGGCAGCAGTTCAGTTGTTGACCCACAAGAGTATGTACTCAGTATTGACAGGTCTGATTGTTTGGTTTTGTTTTGAGAATTGAGAAATCTGCCAATTTTTGTAGGTTGGCTCCAATTTTCTTAAATACCACTTGAGCCAGGCAAAAAGTATGGCTCCTGGTTGAATGTAGCCTATGGACTTCCTGCTCATGGCCTTAGCTTTAAGTGATAAAATGCCCTTTCCAAAAGAGCAGTGGCCCTGGCAGATGTGGCTCAGTAGCGTTGGCCCCCAGCACTGAAGGGTCTCAGGTTCGATTCCCAGTCAGAGGCATGTACCTCTGTTGTGGGTTTGCTCCCCACCCCTGGTTGGGGCACATGTTTGGGGCAACCAATTGATGTGTCTCTCTCACATCGTATTTCTCTCTCTCTCCCCCCTCCCCTTCCAC